TGGGAAGTTCTCGCGTAAGCAGATTTTCATTCAAAATAAAAAGTATTAAATTTTCTGAAATTTCATTTTGATACGATGTTGAATTTTATTGTAGGAAAGAGTTTTACTATGAATCGTTTGAGATTACGAGACTCCTCTGATACATATCAAATTCATACTTATTCTCTATTAAAGATTGGCTTGAAAAATAGTCTAAAATTGATTTTCATATCGCATGGATTAAAATAGAGTAATCTTTATTCATTTTAAGATTTTCAACGTAGTAGAAACTTGAATCGTGTAACAAAACTTCAATGAGAAATAAAATATTTTAAAAATCTTCTATTTGTTCAGAGACTTCATCTTTTTTAATTATTTTCAATCGTCAAAATTTGACTTAGGAGAATTTACAAAATATATTGACTTTTATTCATTTGGAATCATTATTTCAAATAAAAAGAATTTGAATAATACGTTTGATAGAGCTGTATTGATTGACTATACATACACTATTGTCCCCGCACTTTACTATTAGTTAAGGTTCCGGCGCACAGATTTTCACAACCTACGCAATCCTACATGATATTTTCTTTTAGAAAGCCTTATTCTCGAGATAAAGTAAAGCCTATCACATAGAAATCGACTTTAGATCCTACAAAATATTTCTGATTACAGGCAAATAGTCCAAGTTTCAACGAATTATATGATGAGTTGGAAACTTTCGATGTAAAATGAGATTTCCTCTGGGACAAGGCAAACTAGATCCTTGGAATTTCTACCACATATTCTGGGCAAAAAAAGATAAAAATTTTGGACTCTAACGAACAATCTCTTCTAGAATTATAAACTAGATAATTTGTACAGAAAACTAGATTGAATAGATGTTTCATATTGATTTTTGATTGACTAAAAATATATTGAAGCCGAGATTTTTCATAGAATCAGATCCAAGCCTTATTTTAATTTAAATTGAAAGTAACATATTCTGAAAGGCTGCTTTTCAAGATAAAAGAAACTCTAGAAAACTTTTAAAACAAGTTTATATAAATGAGAAGAAAAAAGATGATTCTTTTTTCATGTGAAGCCAAAAACGATTGTTTTTAGTTTTGTTCAATGTATATCTCAGCATTCATTTGACACGAAAAGTTCTTTTTTTTCTCATAAATAAATGAATACTTCTAAATCAACTAAATACCAAAAAGAAATTTAAAATCTGTTGAGCAGCATAGCTTTGATAAACAAAACGCTCTTCAACCACCAACTATACGATTGCTATGCAATTTACTTATACAGCTTGACACTGTTTATCTGTATGTTAGATGTATAAGGAAAAGTTTTGGTTCTACACTAAAATGTGCCTTGTACCTAATATTCAATCAAAAGTTATTCGTAATGAATTATATTCCGTTTGTGGTGATGAAGCTCCTTCTCTTAGAACAGTTGAAAGATGATCGAAACAGTTTTGTAAAGATTGAAGACGAAACATAAATTCTACTTGTTTCTCTATTTGATTTTTGTTCCGCTCAATTATCGAATGATGAATAAATAAAAAAATGAATTGAACATTTCTATAAGAATCCAATGTTCGATTCACTACGATTTTTTATTCGATAGGAACAATATTTACACATTGAATATCATAAAATGTTTCCACACTCACACCCTCAAGGATAGATGAATCACATATTCTACAAACTTGTGTTCCATATAAATGCTTATAGAATGAATACAAAAAAACCCGATACATCTTTTCTAAGATGTCAATGAATTATTTCTTTTTTTCTTATCGTGTTTCACTTTATTACGTGGACAACACATGGTACATATGTCGCACTATATACATTCATATTGAACTAAACAAAATCGTTCAGCGATATTTTCTTTTAAAAATCAAATTCATCAAGTTCATTAAATTCATTTTCTTTATCAGAATTATGATCATCATGAGCAGTTGTTACATCAGGACCAGTTGTGGTATGTGAACTTGCTGTGATATGACGACCTGTTGTGGTACTATCATCAATTGGTTCGTTTTCACCTGAAGAAGAAAATGTATCAAGGGTGTGGGTGTGCGTGTGCGTGTGGGTTATCTGTTCATTGACACCCTCACTCGTACACCCACACCCACACCCTAAGATTCAAAGATTAACAAACGAATCAAGCTCGTTCTTTCTAATATCTGATCAGACGCGGGGAGGGGGGGTGGGCAGTGATGAGAGTGTGAGGGAGTGAGGGTGAGGAGTGGGTGAGTCTAGCTACCGTTATCGTGATTTCGTCCTTGCTAAAGGACTCTTCAGACGGGGTGTGGGTGTGGGTGTAAATCAATTGAAAAACAGATTGACTTATAATTCTATAATACAAATCAATCTGCTAGTCTCAACTTTTGCTTTTCAGCAATCGATTTCCTGTCGAAAATTAAATTAAAATTGAATAAATATAAATAAATATGCTTGAATAAAAATTAATTTAAAAGAAATGCAGATTGTTTTTGCCGGCGCGTTTCATGTTATTTGTTTTAATAATAAAACATTTATCAGGGCTCTGCATTACAATATTTTAAGCACAAGCAAAAGGCAAAAAGCATAAATTCAAATCAAGATTGAAACTAAAACTGGAAGAAAACAAAAAACAATCGAAATCAAAAATTAAAATTAAAACTCAAGTTAAACAAAATCATATGAAAATAAAAAATAAAAAACCTTATTAATGAAAATTAAGGAAGCGAGACAAAAACAATCTTTTACAAGAACAAGGAATCTTTAAATAAAGCAGGATGAAGATACTTCTGTAGATTGTATTAATCAATACACCCTTCTATCTATCAGCAAACTTAAAATTAATTAAAATTAATTAAGTATATTTAATGTCCCATGCAAGATGGGTGATAAGTAGCAATTTGTATATATTATATCAATTCTGTATAATATCACTTATTTGGCTTTGAAGGTATAGACAATGCGGAATTTTAATTGACTACGGTTGCCAATTATGCAACACGATTAATTTTGCTATACTGGTATTTTGAATCTTATCAATCGATTAATCAATAAATTTTGCTTGATAAATATCGACAATCGGGTAATACGAAAAATTTTTTAAGAAAATCGTTTAATAAATTTTGCTTGATGCAGTTATTTAATAAGTTCTATAAGAATATTAGTTTTGATATATATTCATATTAGATTGTATCAATTATGAAATGTACAGTAGTATTAATGTTATCAGAGTAAAAGAAATCATAGTAATAAATTAAATATTTAACCATGATCGAAAAAGGTATTGTATATCTGTCATGCCAATTAATTTCAGTTGTGTCCATACGATGACGATGACATATAAATATCTAATATTATTAGAAGGTAACACAACATTATATTCTAATATTTAGGTATTAATTGATTTCAGTCGTCCCCCATGCGATGGGATATAACAATAAAATTATATTATATAAATGGAGGTACGTATTTGGGTGTGGGCTCAAGTGAAAAGAAGACCTTTAAGCACACTCACACACCAACATCAGCACCCACACCCACACCCTCAAACTCTTAGTATTTTGACCGAATGCTTATATAGGAGATGCGCCGTAAAGTTTCCTAGTAGAGCCCTACTTGACTTTATCTGGATTAGAATTTTATTTTTCAAAAAACAAATGATGGAGTCGTCTAAAGTAGTGATCAGTACTTACCAATGTTATGTTACGAACTTTCCACAATCTTGTTCCTTATCTAATTCGATTAGGTCTTCTAGAAATTTAATTTTGATGCATATGTCATGCCAGTTCGATGAATGCAGCCAAGTTCAACATGTTTAAAATCTATGACAAAATTATCATATCATATTAATGAACATTCATTTTCAAGAATAGTTCTTCGAACAGGCAACGTATCGAAATAGTTTTAAAGACCAAAAAATCACTATATTCGAATGTGTTGATACTGCTTTTTGTACAAATCTATCACATGTTTCAAGCGAAAAATCCATACACAGCTAGATCATGTCAAACATGCTATTAAACAGAGAATTTTGACGCCAATCGTTTAGAGAAATATTTAGATATACGAGCTGGAATGGAAAGATCTTTCATTCAACATAGTGAGATGTTCAGCTATTCTGTAAGATCCTGCGGTTATGATTTCAATTGGGGCCTCTTGATCAGTGGCATTCATCGATATCATGTTCACTTAAATTACATAAAGTAGAAAGGTACGATCTATAGTGCAAAGTTATTTTGTTTAAACTTTATCTACTATTTTTAAACCATTGACCCATACATTTGTTAACTTGCAGATAGTTCAAAAAAAGTTTTAGAATATTCTTCATTCTAAAGATAACCGAATCCAAATGTTTCAAGAGCCTGATGCCACTCATGATTGTTTCATATAGTATGTGCTGAAAATGATTCATCACTTATTTCAGGAAAAATGAATCAAGTGAAAGTTAGACCGAAACACCTCGAATTTAGTACAATGCGACACATGAATGAGTCAGTATCATATTTAGCCTCAGAGTATTTCGGCTATACTATTTCAAATAGAGGTCGAAGTAATTTTTCCAAAAATAAATCCATATATAAGATAATTACTATTTGCTTGAAAATGGATTATTCGCGAGCTCTGTATGTCATCAAAATAACGTCAACCACTGTCAAAATCAACATCGATAGAATTAAATGATTACAGGCCGTTTCTGCACATTTCTATTGCAAACAAGTGGCATATTTTTTTTACAAGAATTGACATTTTGTAACGGAATGGTATACAGAGCTCGTAACAATGCTATTTTGAAGCAAACACTGTCTTACATTGACATTCGTTTTGAAAAATGAATTCGACGTCTATTTCAAATGGTGTAGCCCAAAATATTAAACTCGTCCAATGTTTTCAAAGAATTTTGGATTGCTCAATCAAGCTTGGAAATCACTCGAAGTGTAAATGACCTTTCTAACTTCTAAAAATAAAACGCTCAAGAACAGTTTATCTATCTGCTTTTATAAATTTTTCGTCCGAACGATTCTCTCTCTTGCGTACAAAAGTAGCTCAAAGTCAAGGATGACCCCAGAATCTTTCGTAGGCAGGAATCTGATGGGCTTCCATAGTCATCTGTTTTCTCCAACTTGAAAGTCATATTGAGCAAATTTAACTTCATCCTTGGAGAGACCATGCTCGAATGCAATTAGCCGAGGTACACTTTTCTTTGCGCAAGACTGTTGACCTTATACTTTTTCCCAATGTTATAAATCTACACATGATGAATCGGTCTGTCATCAATATTTGATTGTATTTATCAATCTCACCAGCTGGCGAAAATATTCATTACTATCGAAGCTGCATAGAGCTTCTTGGTCTCATCAGAAAAAGGGTGGGGTGTGGGTGGGTGTGTGTGAATGAAGAGAAGACCTATACACCGACACCCACATCCACACCCTGGCGTCTAAATTGCTTCCAGTTAGATAACAAGATTGATTGTCAGAAGCTATTCGCTCTGACAGACACTTAGTGTAATATGAACGGAAGATTGTCATCATTTCATCTTCAGACTCTGATATTGTTGACTACCTTATCCTCATTGAGTTACCTTAAACACAACATTATATAATGCTGACACAAGAGAAAAGAAAAAGAAACATACATAGTCAAGATTAATACTAGTAAGGGATGAGTCATTTAGAGGAAAGAAAAAGAAGGTTAGTGAGGTGTAGCAGACGTTAAATGTTTTACTGTATAATGCAAAAAAAAATAGAAGTAATGATGATTTTTTTTCGTTCTTGTCATGTTAAGCTTGAATGCTTTCAGAGCAGTCTCATGCAAGGCACAGAAAGAAGAAAGTCATGAAAGGAGTCAATGAAAAAATGACTAATGAATGATGATTTTCTTACCAAAATCACTGACGGAGAAACTATATCCCACGCATTATTACTAAAATTATTGTGCGCAGAGAAAAGCAAGAGAAATTTTGTAAAAATAGCAAAACGAAAAATGATGCGATTGATTTTTTCTGTTCGTTTGGATGTCTCCAACGAATAAATATTTTTATTCTTTTTCTCTCTGCTTCTCTTGTATTTTTTACCTTAATATTTTCAATAAAAACAAGTAGGGTTCGTTCTTAGGTGTGAACGAAAAACATAAAACATTTTGCGTAGTAGAAAAATAGAGAGAAAAAGACACTAAATAGATATATACGAATAGGTGGTTAAATGTCGAAAGGGAAAACGTCGAAAGACAAAATGTAGAAAAACATGACGTAGAAAAGCAGATTGTAGAAAAAAAAATGTCGAAAGTGAAAATGTCGAAAGAAAAATGGCGAAAATGAAAATGTCGAAAGGTAAAAATGTCGAAAAGCGTATTGACGAAAAATAAAACGTCGAAAGAAAAAATGGCGAAAAGGGAAAAATGAAATAAAGAGACGTCCATGACGTCTTCAAATAAATTTCTATCAACTGACGATGCATTGTCTCGCTAAGAGAATCTAACGATATTGATTAATTATTGAGTTGTATATATATATAGCAGCTCGCGTTCATTTCTACAGACATTTATCAAGTTGTTTTCTATATTTTTTACTTATGTCAACATGAGTAATACACCTATCATAACTTTTTCACAAAGTAACAAAGGCAAACGTGTGGTTATTTGTGATGGATTTATATATCAGTTAAACAAGTCATGTCCCAAGGTCAAATATATATCCTAATATTTGGCATTTTATTGATGTACTCAAGAAAGAAGAAGTTCATTTTCAACAGCAACTTCTTCATGCTAAAAGCGGTTTGCTCAAGAAAAAGTCAAAAAGAACTTGCATCATCCAAGAACGTCTTGATGTTTTATGCAGACATTTTTCAAATAATGAAATTGATTTGAATGAATACCTCGAAGGTTTGTCACTGATCGTCCCAAAAGATATGAACAAAAAAAAATGAATTGAAAATAGCTTTTTCAATATTATATTCAACTGCCGAGTTCTGTTTCTTAATTTATTCATTGTCTCTTTTTCTTCTCTTGAAATAGTTATCCTTATTGTCAAATTTTGTTATCTTAATCTATTCATATAATGTTTCTTCATCTCTATTTTTTGGAATAGTTTTTGACTTGTGCTTTATTTGCTAAAATTCTTGTCAATAAAAGAGATGACTAAATATATGCTATTAGTGTTTTCGACATTTTCACTTTCGACATTTTCGCTTTCGACATTTTGTTTTTCTACATTCACAACTTTCGACATTTTTTTGTTCGACATCCTGCTTTTCGACATTTTTACTTTCGGCATTTTTTTTTCTACATTTTGTCTTTCGACATTTTCCCTTCGACATTTAACCACTTTACCGATATATACAGAGAGGAAGTAGTGTATGTGTGAGTGACAAAAAAGTTATTTATAATTTTCAATTGACGATCAACTTATTATTCAGAGTAATATGGATATACAAAAATCAAACAAGTCTATGTCTACATCTTCAAGGATCCCATCGACAACAACATCAGCACAGTCGGCTAGCATTCGTCCAGAACGCCGCATTTTTCAAGATTTCTTTCTGATATGGTTAGATGCCAATATTGACCAAGGTAATAAAGATTATCAAAGCATTTTGGCACAACTTCAAAGCATAGTCAACGAACACTGTAAAAAAATTCGTAGAATAATAAACCCAAAAAGGGTTGATGAAAGTGCAACGTATAATAAACCCTTTTTACCGTATGTAAAATTTTCCTAAACCCTTTTTAAGGGTTTAATAAAGGGTTTAGGAAATCCATAAACCCTTTCATATACCCTTTCAAAGGGTTTAGGAAAGGGTTTAGGAAGTTCATAAACCCTTTAAGGGTTTATTATACGTTGCACTTTCAACAACCCTTTTAAGGGTTTAGAAAAATCATAAACCCTTCGATATACCCTTAGTAAGGGTATATGAAGGGGTTTAGGAAATCAATAAACCCTTACATAAACCCTCAAAATGGTTTATGATGGTCACCAAGTACGGATGAGGCTGAGCAAAGGGTTTAGGAAACGCTCATAAACCCATATATGGGTTTAGCCAAGGGTTTAGGATACACTCATAAACCCATATAAGGGTTTAGGACACACTCATAAACCCATATAAGGGTTTAGGACACACTCACACTCGAGACTAATTTCGAGGCACCATTTTAACCTGTTACTCTTTTCCCTAGCATAACAACAAAGAATTTTAGGAAACAGCGATACCAAAGTTCACAACTGTACATGTTCTTCTAAGCAAAAAACCAATTATAAGTAGTTCGAATGATACTGCACAATAAAGTTTAGACTGCCAAATGAGATATTTTTTTTCTTTATTTGGCAATCTTAAATTTATTGTGGAGTATCATTCGAACTACTTACAATTTGTTTTTTGCTTAGAAGAACATATACAGTTGTGAACTTTGGTATCGCTGTTTCCTAAAATTCTTTGTTGTTATGCGAGAGGAAAGGGTAACAGGTTGAAATGGTGTGCCTCCAGATTAGTCCTCAGCGTTACTTATGATTGTGTTTGTCGCGATGGACCTAAATAAAAAAAATAAATTTATATAAATAATACTTACATTTCGTTATGAACTTAATATTGTGCTAAATAAAGAAAAAACAAATACATACATATAAATAAATACTTACTTTGTATTTCTTTGTTCTAACTGATCTAAATAGAAAAAGATAACAATTAATATAAATAATACTTACATATTATTTTGAACTCCATACTAACCTAAATAAAAAAAGAAATATATACATAAGAAACTAATACTTACTTTTGTTTCCATTGTTGCAATTGGTCTAAATAAAAAAGAAGATTTTTTTAAAATAATACTTACATATTATTTTGAATTTCATATTGAACTAAATAGTATTAAAAAAAATATATATAAGTAAATAATACTTACATTTGATTTCTTGTTGCAATGGATCTCAACAGAAAAAGATAATTATTAATGTAAACAATACTTACATTTTATTTTCAACTTCATATTAACCTAAATCAAAAAGAAACAGATAAGAAAATAATACTTACTTTTGATTCCGTTGTTGCGATTGGTCTAAATTAAAAAGAAGATTTTTTTAAAAATAATACTTACATATTATTTTGAATTTCATATTGAGCTAAATAAAATTTTAAAAAAAATATATATAAGTATATAATACTTACTTTTGATTTCGTTGTTGTGATTGGTCTAAATAAAAAAAGAAGATTTTTTTAAAATAATACTTACATATTATTTTGAATTTTATATTGAACTAAATAAAATTAATATATACATATACATATATATATATATATAAGTAAATAATACTTACTTTTCATTTCTTGTTACAATGAATCTAAACAGAAAAAAATAATTATTAATGTAAATAATACTTACATTTTATTTTTGAACTCCATATTAATCTAAATCAAAAAGAAACATCGATAAGAAAATAATACTTACATTTGATTCTGTTGTTATGATTGATCTAAATAAAAAGGAAGATTTTTTTTAAATAATACTTACATATTATTTTGAATTTCATATTGAACTATATAAAATTTTTAAAAAAATATATATAAGTATATAATACTTACTTTTGATTTCTTGTTACAATGGATCTAAACAGAAAAAGATAATTATTAATGTAAATAATACTTACATTTTATTTTGAACTAAAAAAATATAAGTATATATATACGCATGTATAAATGTTACTTACATTTCATTTCGTTGTCGAGATTAACTTAGCCAAGAAAGACAAGTTTATAAAAATAATACTTAAGTTCATTATGGTGTTTTTATGTATATAAAAACTACGTTTTATCTTGTTTTCAAGGCTGACCTGAATGGAAAAAGAAAAACTATTAATGTAAATAATACTTACAATTCATCTTGTTGTGGAAATTATTATCCATTTCAAATTAAAGTGAACTCGGTTGCTTGTTTAATAACTTTGCAACGCTGATAGCTATCGAATCGCGGTTTTCACCATTAGACAGAGGGTGACTGAGGATATCTGTACAGCTGAGAGTCAATGAATTTTAAAAATTTTATAGAAGTTGCGCAAGTACTTTTTTATAAAACTCTGACTGGCTCTTTTGATTACATAGATTATTAATTTCAATTTAGCCAAATTGTAGCCGAGCATCTGCTCTATAAACGCTGAAAGTTTCACACTTCCGTTATGTGTCTCTGAGGTAAAAGAAAAAATCTCATAAAATCGAATGATGCTAAATCTTCAAAGTTTTTTGCCTTAGACCTCTCATCCATACAGGTAATGGAATCTACTGATTATTGTAACATTATTAGTTAGATGATTGAAGATCTTTGATTTCTTCATATCACCTCGTGTATGTCTATTTCTGCCGATCTTTACTAATCGATTCAAGAGAAACATTCATTTTTTACTCGTTAATGTTTATTTTTTTTTTGTCTATTTGATCACAATGACATATGTATGCATCAGAGAAGTTGTCACAAGTGCAAATGGTATAGAAGAGGGACGCATACAAATTGTCACTTAGGAATATCACACTCATTGCCATCCGTTGCTGCTGAATCTTCTTTTTTATCAGTTTCAATCAATTGTGCCTCAATATTGTTTTCCACAATGACATCTGCTTAGAGATGTAAGCCGAGGGTCAAAGAGCGGCAGCGGTTTTAATGGTCAAATTTTTTGTTCATAGCGGCGGCGCCTACTAGGTTTTATGTTTTCTACATCGGCGGCGGTGGCTTTAACTATAAATTATTTTTTCCCACAGTGGCGGCAGCTGCTATAGCTTATGTTTTTCTGCACCGGCGACGGCTTTGACGACCAGAAAAAAAACGTTTTCGCTCCTAAAAGTGGAAAAAATGACCCATCGCATATGTATCGATGTCAACGGTGGTGGTGCTTCATACTATTATCAAAAATTTCCGTTCGTGGCGATGGCGCACTGGCTGAACTAACTTTTTCATAGCGGCGGCGGCTAAAAAATTCTTAAAATTATCTACGGTTTTGTGACGGTGTCGGTTCAGCTCGGCAGCTTACACCTCTACATCGGCTGCTTTGAAAATATTCTGGAAATTGTATGCATGCTCGATGAAGCTTTGTGCTAAGTCTTCATTAACGGCAGCAATAAAATCGAGCGCACTATCTTCAACTTTGGAAAGACGAAAATTAACATACCTGTTACGCATGTGTGACTTGAGTTGGGCCCATGTAAGCTCTGTGGGATTGAGTATACAATGCTTTACTGGAAGTCGCAAGATTTCGACATCGGGAGTGGGTGTGGGTATGCGTGAGGAAGAGACCAATACCCACACCCATTCCCACACCCAAAAATGGTCATTTTTGCCAAAAAAAGAATCATTTGTACCATAGAATTGGTCATTTGTGCCATGAACATGGCCATTTGTACCATAGAAATGGTCATTTATACCATGAAAATAGCCATTTATGCCAAGCCCTTGTTAGAGACAGACAGACACAGGTGAATTACGGTTTCTAGACCCTAGCCTTTCAGTCTAGGAAATACACCCTTTCTATGGAAAGGTAGAACAATAAACCCTTAGCCGTAGAATAATAAACCCTTTTCATGAAAGAGTAGAACAATAAACCCTTAGCCGTAGAATAATAAACCCTTTACATAAAAGAGTGGAACAATAAACCTTTAGCCGTAGAATAATAAACCCTTTTCATGAAAGAGTAGAACAATAAACCCTTAGCCGTAGAATAATAAACCCTTTTTATAAAAAGTAGAACAATAAACCCTTGGTCGTAGAATAATAAACCCTTTTCATGAAAGGGCAGAACAATAAACCCTTTTTCACTAGTCATAAACCCTTTTTATTTTTAAATATCCTTTTTCTCGGAAACCCTTTCGTACAAAAACCCTTTTAGGGTTTAACACACCAGCATAAACCCTTTAAGGGTTTAGGAAAATTTTCCTAAAGTGCTAGGGTTTAGTATTCTACGAATTTTTTTTACAGTGAAGTTCATACCTTCACGCAGATCGATCAATGTATCTACTTCCTCACCAAAGTCGATGATAGAAAGGCATTTCTCATTGTAGCGGATGACATGCGGCAACAAATGATGTCCCTCATCCATGATATTCCTCATGTTGATAGCATTTATGTCTTTTCTGGAAACAACGCTCGATACGAAGATTGCACCAACGATTGGAACAAAATTAAGGGCATATATACGGAAATTACACCTATCTGTAAAGCACTAAAAGTGGCCGTCAAACAATGTAATCAAGATGACATCTCGATAAGCTTTCTCAATGTACATCAAGAGGGCTTCGGCCAAAATCTGAACGAACTTGAACCTTCGTTTATGTATACTCAACTGTTCAAAGAAATTCTCCTTGAAATCGACTATACTGAACAAGCAATTAAGGATTTTATTCTATTCTGGCGCAACGAATACAGCAACAATACCATTACATTGGACCCTATCGATGAATTCGAACGTGATTATCATTCACAATCATCAATTTGGTGGTACACTCGGGAATATTTCCTCTATCGGATGATCAACTGGTCTCTTCGAACATTGGAATCTGAAACGATTATGAAAATGGGCTTCTTTATTCGTGATCTACATTGTCAAATAGAAGAATTACACAAACAACAAACAAGAGGTTCTGAGAACGAGCCCATTATTGTTTACCGAGGGCAGGGGCTATCCATCGCTGACTTTCAAAAACTCCAGACAACAAAAAGTGGTTTCATGTCCTTTAACAATTTTCTATCCACTAGTGGAAATCGACAGGTTTCCCTTGCCTTCGCTGAAAGTGTCTCAACAGCAAGCGATATGGTGGGCATTCTCTTTCAAATGTTTATTGATCCTACCATCAGATCAATACCATTCGCCTCCATCCAACAAGTGAGTTACTTCAACGAAGAGCAAGAAATACTCTTCTCAATGCACACTGTTTTTCGTATCGCTGAAATTAAACAGATGACCACCAATAGTCGCTTCTGGGAAGTACAATTGATTCTCACAGATGAAAATGATCAACAGTTGGCTGCTCTCACGCGCAGCATACGCAGCCAGCTCTATGGATCCACAGGATGGCAGCGACTGGGTGATCTTATGTTCACAGTGGGACACTTCAATAAAGCCGAAGAACTCTACAACGCATTGCTAAAGAACTCGTCCAATGACAGCGAGAGAGCATATATCTATCATCAACTTGGCCTATCGAAACACGTAAAAGCACAGTACCAAGAAGCGGCTTCATTATATGAAAAGTCTCTCGAAATCAAGCATACACCACTCACAGAAGATGATCCTGAATTGGCTAAATCCTACAACAACATCGGTGCAGTGTATAACGACACGGGTGCCTACTCGAAAGCGCTTGCATTTTACGAAAAATCATATCAAATAAGAGAAAAATCACTCCCACCCAATCATCCAGATTTGGCTACTTCCTACAACAGCATCGGTGGGGTGTATTATTGCATAAGTGAATACTCGAAAGCACTCGAATTTTACGAAAAACCACTTAAAATAAGAGAAAAAGCTCTGCCTCCAAATCATCCCGATTTCGCAATTTCTTACAACCACATCGGACAACTGTATAACACCATCGGTGACTACTTGAAAGTACTTGAATTTCACGACAAAGCACTTAAAATAAGACAAAAAGCTCTGCCTCCGAATCATCCCAGTTTCGCTAGTTCCTACAGCAACATCGGTATAGTGCATAATAACATGGGTGAATACTCGAAAGCACTTGAATTTTACGAAAAATCACATCAAATAATAGAAAACGCTCTGCCACAGAACCATCCTGCTTTGGCTACTTCTTACAACAACATCGGCTTTCTCTATAACAACATGGGTGACTACTCGAAAGCACTTGAATTTTACGAAAAATCACATCAAATCTACGACAAAGCTCTCCCTCCAAATCATCCCAATTTGGCTCTGTCCTACAGCAACATCGGTCAAGTATATAACCACATCGGTGACTACTCGAAAGCATTTGACTTTTCCGAAAAATCATGTCAGGTCAGAGAAAAAGCTCTCCCTCCGAATCATCCCGACTTGGCTCAATCCTACAACAACATTGGTAGAGTGCATGACAACATGGGTGAATACTCGAAAGCACTTGAATTTTACGACAAATCACATAAAATAATAGAAAAAGCTCTGCCACCGAATCATCCGGATTTGGCTACTTGTCACAACAACATCGGTGGAGTGTATAAGGCCATGGGTGACTATTCGAAAGCACTTGGCTTTTACGGGAAATCACATAAAATCTATGAAAAAGCTCTGCCTCCGAATCATCCCAATTTGGCTCGCTCCTACAACAATATCGGTCAAGTGTATAAC